CTATGTCTGTATATATATATATATATATATATATATATATTTATTTATTTATAGTTATGAAAACAATAGAAAATTCTGTTAGGTAAACTTCTAATGGTAAATTGTCCTTTAATGTAAAAGCTGTTAGAAGACACACAACAGTAAGATTTTCCTCACACAGGGTAAAACAACTTCCCAAAAGTTTCTTGATAATTTTTGGATTTTACCCACACCTTGTTACACTTGTGGTGTTCACAGTCAAAAAAAGACCAGCCTACAAGAAATGGCCTATACATTTCTCATTATGCAATATTATTTGTAAATATTGGATTCAATCTATTTATGAGCTGCTTTTCTTTTACATTTTCACAGGTTTTATATTTCTTTTTGGAACTAATTGATTGTAGGCATCATTGATCTGACCTTAGTTTTTGACTAAATATTGCCAAAATTATCAGTAAATAATGTTTTTCTTTTTATTAAAAAAATGAGGTGCATAAGCTCAGGTCAATGTATCAATTTGCATAAGAATGAGGTCTATAATCTATCAGTTCCAAAAAAGAAATGCAAAAACCTGTGCTAATTGAAAGAAAACAAGTTGACAAATGATTGAATGAGATTTAGTGATAATATAGCATAATGAGAAATTGACCAGGAACCCCAATTTTTTTAAATTTATTTATTAATTTTTTTTTAAACAAAGCACAATGGTTAAAATATATTTAAATTATTTAAAAATTATTTAAATTATTTACCAACCAAAACCCATTTTGCCCCATTTGTCACTTGTGTTAATTTGTTAATGTTGTGTTAATTTTGCATGGTGTTACAAATTCTGTGGGGATTACATATGTGTAAGGCTGCTGATACACGGGGCAACTTTTTGAGCAATGTTGCCAGATAGAAAAGTATCCAGATAGAAATTTGTTACCCATTCTCATTGAGAAAGTGACCAAGCAACATTACTCAAAAAGTTGCCCCCTGTATCATCAGCCTAAAGGTCCTTGCACACTGAGTCTGAAATTTTCGTATGCGTTTTTTTTTTTCTTTTTTCATAATCGTCATTCCTATCAAAATGCTTGCTATGGATGCGAAAACGCAGGAAATCGAACCTGATCCGAATTTTTTATGACAGACGAAAGTTTCGGAGGCAGTGTGTAAACGTGATTGACACGTTGAAAATTTTGTGTGCAATTACCTTAAGTCATTTAGATAAATCCCAAGTAAACCATTTCTTCCATTTAATTCAGAACCTTTTCTTAAACATTTTTAACGTCTGTTTTTCAGCTGTATGGTGTGCAGAGGTGGAGGAACGTTTAGTAAACTACTTACTCTCCCCTGACCGATACAACAAGCTGATCCGTCCGGCAGTCAACAAGAGCCAGCAGGTCACCATTGCAATCCAAGTGTCCCTTGCCCAGCTCATCAGTGTGGTGGGTAGTTGAAACATGAAGAGCTGCCACACATGGCACATTTTATTAATTCAATGTTTATAATGTGTTTATGTTTGTATTTCAGAATGAGAGAGAGCAAATCATGACCACAAACTGTTGGCTCACTCAGGTAAGAGAAGCGGAACTTTTGTGTTTTGGTTGTAATTTAAATAAATAAACAATAAAAGTATTTCTAAATGATGTGTCTTTTGCAGGTATGGAATGATTACCAGTTGATGTGGGATCCAGAGGAGTATGAAGGGATCAGGAAAGTTCGCCTTCCCTCCCAGCATATATGGCTGCCTGACATTGTCCTGTACAACAAGTGAGAAATTTTCCAGCCCTTCTGTTGTCTTTTATTCACCCTCATGTCGTTCCAAACGTGACTGTCTTTCTTTTTTTGTGTTGTAGAAAACACAAGAGAATATTTTTGAATTGTTTTGCTGATACACTGAAAATCTGTGGGGCCAAGAACCACACTGGATCTCAGTGTCTTTCATTGCATGACCAAAAACTTCAAAATATCTTTAAGTGTGTTGTAGAAGAAAAAGTCATACAGGTTTGGAACGACATGGGGGTAAATGATGTTCATTTTTTGCTGAACTATACCTTTAAATAATTTATAAAATGAGGTTTTATTTATTCAAAGGTTGAATCCTTATAAAAAATACAGGTTGCAGCAGGAGACTTATTTTGTAATCTTTTTACAATGCTGCATCAATGCAGGATTTGGACAGGGTTTCACCTTTACCTAGGACAGAGTTACTGCGTTAATATCAGGAACTGAGACTGAGATTAGAATGACAGCGTTTTTCATATGATGATGAGCTGGCACTCAGGATAAGAGTATCAGCTTTAACTTTCCTTTATTATGCACTTTATCATGCACACAAGCAAAAAATGATACTTTGCTTTTTATATTTAAAACAACACATTTAAAACAACGTGTTTGTCATTTTTAGTGCTGATGGGACATATGAAGTGTCTTTCTACTCCAATGCGGTCGTGTCAAATAACGGTGAGGTTGCCTGGCTACCACCAGCCATTTATAAGAGTGCCTGTAAAATTGAGGTCCGGGACTTCCCCTTTGACCAGCAAAACTGCACACTCAATTTCCGCTCATGGACTTATGACCACACAGAAATCGACCTCATCTTGCTGTCGGACTTTGCCAGCCGAGATGACTTCAAGCCAAGTGGCGAATGGGATATTGTGTCCTTGCCTGGTCGCAAAAACGAAGACCCAAATGACGCCACATATTTGGATATAACGTATGATTTTATCATCAGACGCAAACCGCTGTTCTACACCATTAACTTAATCATCCCATGTGTTCTCATCACTTCACTGGCCATCTTAGTTTTTTACCTCCCATCAGACTGTGGGGAGAAGATGACTTTGTGTATCTCTGTTCTTCTGGCCTTAACTGTGTTCCTCTTGCTTATTTCCAAAATCGTACCGCCGACCTCACTCGCTGTGCCCCTCATTGGAAAGTACTTGATGTTCTCCATGGTCTTGGTGACTTTTTCAATTGTTACAAGTGTGTGTGTGCTAAACGTGCACCATCGTTCCCCAAGCACACACACTATGCCCAAGTGGGTCAAATACTACTTCCTGTTCCGTTTGCCTGGTTTCCTATTCATCCGACGACCGGGAGAGTCCAACAAACGTGAGAAATTTCACAGGAAGCACCAGCAGTGCTCTTCATCTGATCACCCAGCAAAAAGTAAGGCAGATGAGACTGATTCCACCTTCTTTGTCAATGAAGATGCCAAGCACATTGGTTGGAGACCTGGCGAGTTGCAGGAAAGCACAGAATTTCGTAAGCGAATGGCGGTAAAGTGCTCTGCAGACATGGAGGAGGCTGTGAAGGGGGTCCGATATATCGCTGACAAGTTGAAGAATGAGGATGATGATGAAGGGGTGAGGGTTG